AAGGATAATTTGACTTACAAGCCAAATAATATAAAATATATTCAAGAACACTGTATAATTGCCTGATACTTTATTATCAAAAATACTACTGTATATGTTACATGGCTTGTATTTATGTGAGCCAATGGATAAGGCTCTTTGAGTCGGCTCAATAGAGAACTCTAATATTGTATTCCAGACCAACGATGTAATTTAATTTGTGACGTAGATATCATAGCTATTACGTATATCAATATCAAGGACCTGACGAAATCAATAAATCGGATTGGCTAAAAAATCATGCGGCTAAATTTTATCAGGTGTCCCAGGAATTATGAAAACAGCTGTAACCGGATAGCAATTTTGCTAACCGGTTAACAAAATTTCAGCACGGCATTAGCGGTTTGGTTGGTTATAGGTCACGTTGTCAGTTAATTCCTATTAATCTGATTGGTTGAGTTCATACGGTTTAAAATTCCGAGAATTTGGATTTTGGCCGATAATCCAAAATCATGTAATGTGGCCCGAATTATGAAATTAATTCTTATGCGGTCAATTTTTACCCCTGACCAATATTATTATTATCGTTATTATATATTATTATTATCTTTACAGTCGGGTAAACCGAGTTAACCGGGTTACTCGGGTCATTTGAGATAGCCGGATTGTTAACCGGTTTTGAATTTGTAATACGGTCGGTTGTCCGGAGAGAAAATTTTGTACGGGCCTAATCTCTGGAGATCCCCAAAATTTCGGGTCGAGTGCATCAGAACCCTGGTCGGATGGGCCGGAATTGCCCAATATCGCCAAGAATTTTACTAATGAAACAATAGTCGTTCAATGCCATCTGATAACTTTCGATAACCTAGTCATATCATTTTTTGATGACCTTGGTCATATAATCATGACTTTTTGGTCGTAAGTCATATAGGTCAAACAAAATGCTAATAAAAATTTTTTTACTGATTCTTACTATATTAAAAAGGTCAGAAGTCATATTAACCCTCATTATGACCAAATGGCCTATGACTAGATAAAGGTCATATAGGTCATTGAAGGTCATATAGGTCATTGAAGGTCATCGGCCAACTCCTGCTAACCAGTATAACTAACCCTAACCCTAACCAGACCATAACCCCGATGCATTCCGGCCATTCCGACCAGGAAATTTGGGGAACCTTCTTTAAAAAAATCTAACATATCGATATACCCTAAGTGTGCCCCTCTGAGACCATGGGAAAAAAATTAGAAAAGTGTGCACTTAGAGAGTGTGTACATTTATGGAGAGCAAAATATATAGAGCTTTATAAGTTGGGACCGGATTATACCATGCATTTAGAGAGTTTACATAATCCGTGCACAAGTGCGCAGAAGGTCCAATTGTATAAATTATAAAAATAATGTGAAAGTTCTTCAATAACTTGATGCTGTAAAAGAAACTTATACTCTTCTTTTAAAATAATAATGCCAAATGTCCGATTCATTATATAAAATTACCACGTTTTAATATAGAGCAAAAAAAGGATATTTTTATAACAAATTTTTTAAGAATTTAACGTTCTCACGAGAGTTCGTTATAAAGTTGGCGTGCAGATTCCTGCATAGTTAATGCAGAATCCAGATTACAGAATTTACGGTTTTATTAGTCAATTGTAATCTTCACGGGATTAGATTTCCGGCACGATACAGTAATTTCTGTTTGTACGTTCTCAAAGTTGCCCAAGTGCCACCCAGTGGTACGTACGTACCTCTATCTAATGATTCTACTATCTCTAACCTAATGTGTGTCATCAAAATATTAAATTCTATATAACTTGTATGGCACATTGAAATTTCCCATTTTTGTGTAACAATACTGTTTCGCCATGCTAGATTTCCGTAATTCGGGGCTACATCGCATTGAATTAGTAACTTGCATTGTGTGCACGTTGATTTGATCATCTGAGAGCACATAAATTCCGAAACGAAAATATAAACATCATATGATTCTAAACTCATTCGGTGGCTCTTCTATCAGTATCAGTATTTATACCAATCCACCTTTTTCGTGGTTACTGGTATTAGATTTGTTGGTATAGTTTCTTCAACTATAGTATGCTTACTGCTGACACTGTTAATGTTTAATTTTGAGAATAAAAAGTTAATTTATTTTGGGTTTCGATTCTTGTGATCAAAAATCGGTGTTCAATATAGTAAATGGTTCACACTACGGAAGTTACCACTATGAAGGCCAAAAAACAAACTGGTAAAAAAGTAACAAAAATCGTTAGTACATCCGTAATTCCACTCTCACAGCAACAGCACGTACAGCAACAACAGCAACAGTCAACACACACTTCAAATAATCAAAGTTCGTTGTCTATATCTCGTAATAAGCATTGGAAATATATCTCGTCTTATCATGGACCGTGGCTTCAGCTTCCTTTGGAACTGCTTGAGTCGCTTTACATGATCAATAATGATAATGTTGCCACTCCGCCGCCACCAATTGATCCTATTATTTTTGGTAATTTGATATCAATTCGTCGATTAGTTGATGAGGCAGCCGATTTATCTGTTCGGGCCGCTTCAGGTGTATCAACCACCGGTGGAGGACCGACAAGAAGCTCAATGTCTCATACACGACAGCATAGGATGCGCGAGCTTGCAGTTAACAAATTAGCACTTGCATACCGGATTGATGAAATTGCTACTGCGGTAGTAACAATGCAGTCAGCCAGTGCAATCGACGAAGTGGCTAGTCGAGTTTTGAAGAAAAATTCGACGAATCTAGAGGCGTTATATGTGAATTTTTTTCATGAAAAAATTCCTTCGAGGTAAATATAAAATTTAAAACGAAGATAGAGTTCAATTCTTTTCTTAATTGTTTCATGAATAAGGAAACAAGAATTGTAAAGAATGTAGAACTGATTTGATGTAGTAATATAGATAAAAAAAATGGCTTGGTACGGAGGATTTCCCAAAAATTTGGCACCAACCTAATACTTTGCACCACTTTTTATCCACCATATACAAGTAGAATGCTATCGCAATCTACATCCACCGATATACTCGATAAGATCATAGCCACTTCTCCAACGACTCCCGAATTTTATCGTACGCGTGGTGTTGTAAAATGTTTTAAAGAAGAATTTGCGGGTGCTCTCCGAGATTTCAAAACGGCTTTAGCACATACAAAACACAGAAAACGAGTAAATAACGTTTTGTTAGGAAAAAAACCAACACTTCCTCTTCATAACCACCATGGCAATGAGGATGACGAATGCACAGGGACTGAGAGCCAATTATACTTTTTACGTGCTGCATGTTATTTACAATATGCTATTAGTTTAGTAGATAAAGCAATTCAAAAAGTTGATGGAGTAGAACGTAAAGACGGGGAAGGAAGTGAATTAAGATTAGTAGCAGTTAAAAAAGGTAATAACAACGGAACCAATAATCAAGGCACTACTCCAAAACTTGAAGAATATAGAAAAGAACTCTTGCCAATAATGCACCAAGTACAAAGTTTGACAAGACGTTCAGTGAGAGATTACACCCATTTTTTGGGATTTTATCCTAGTTCTTTACCACCATTTTCAACTAGTGTTGAAGGTACATCCAAGGCCAGCACTCCCATTGCATCAAGAGATTCGTCTCCCGTAAGATCATTTAAAGATAAAGATGATAATTTAAGCCCACCTATTAATCCCACGGATCAACAATCTGATCCAAAAACTACAGATAAGAACCGTAAACTTGCAGAAAAGGCAGTCGGCTTATCTTCTGATGTTGAAAATTCTATTTCAAATACACCTGCTTCCGTGTCTAAAGACCATAATCATAGTCACCACCATTCTCATCATTTTCATGGTTATCAACCTCCTCATACTTTTGCCACATATCATCCACTCTTAATCGAAGCGTGGTATGCTATAGCTCTTAATTATGTACTTATCGGTGACCTTCACACTGGCGCTTTGTGGCATGCTCGAATCGCTGAAATGCACGAGTGTATTGAAGGTTATCCAGTCTTTCTTCCAGCGCGATCAATGGCGCAAGCGGATTATATGGAGGTCTTAGAACGTGTTAAGAAAGCTAATAGTCTGGCCCAGCATGAAAAGTTAAGAGAATTGGTGGAAATAGTCAAGCAGAAAGAGAAAGAAAGAGAGGAGAAAGAACGCGAATGGATGGAGAAACATCAACATACTAAGATGCTTTTAGCCTCTGCAGAAGATGACAAAGATATGATAGAAGGAAAGAAAGTTGCAGTAAAAATCGGAAAAAAGTCCAAAAACGCTACGCATAATAAAAATGGAAACTCAGTTACACCAGTTATTGGTATTGATGGTCAAAGACATCATCCGTGTTGCCCTCTTGCACCTGGAAATCATCCATCTTCTCCTAAAGAAAATAACTACAATCAAAATCATGCCTCCTCAGTTTCTTCTGCCGCTACTTCTAATAGCAATAGTTCCGTCGGTAATTCTAATGGTAATTCCAATGGTACTACAAGCAACAACAACGCCGGTGGTAGTGTGGGAGGACCGAGACAGTATCCATTGCATACGCAAAGGGCTGATTCGGTTATGTTGTGGTTAAGAGCTATTATCTTAAGACCGACAAATTTATCCTAAACCACGGTATAAAATCTTTTAAAATAGCGGTTTAGGATAAGATCCAAATCTTTTGATCTATTTTAAGAACGCACTTCTATATCAATGACAATTTTTTTTACAAAACTTGTCAAGGTCGATTGTTTAAAGGCGAAATTCTTGTAGTAAGTTAAATACTTCGGCCTTTAAACTCAATCGTTGAATTGTCCTTATTTTAAGTGAAAAATTTAATAAAAATGAGATTATATTCTAGTGCTATTTATTTTTTATTTCATTTTATTTTATTTTTATTTTTTTATTTTTTTTGCCATTGTATCGTAATATTGCAAAAAAGAATTAAATAAATAGTAAATAAATTAACTTAATAAGAAACAATTCAGGGCCAGAGTTAGAAAAGGTTTTATTGAAGGCTATTGTACTTAACCCTTTTTTTTTTTTAGAACGTTAAGCAGTTTTTAAAGAAAATTCAAGCTTTATAATTTTAAAGCATTGTTAAGAACTCAGCCAGAATGGTCCCAAAAAGTGCTGTAACGTGACATCCACAGCTCGAAGATATATACCTTGGTAAGAATCTGTTAATATTCTTGAATTTACAGGCGCATAGATTTCGAATATGTTTTCAAATATCATCATTTAGTGTTTGAATAATGTAGTGCTACTGCAAATTCATGTTATGGCACTTTGTCATGGCTAATTTTCCTAGCCATTGCTAGGGATGGTGGGCGCTTTCAAGAACCTCTCTCGATGAACTCGATGAAAAATCTGATTGGTCAATTTGATCATCCGTGATCAATTTCGACATGTATTTTGATTATTATACAGAAAGTATTTGTGGCATAATTTCTACCTGAATGTTGGCATACGCATTGCCCAAAGCTAGTCACAACTAATTGTCAATACCACAAATCAGAACTAATGTCATAACGATAAGGCGGCATCCATAATTTACGTTAAACCAGTATTGTTATAGAAATCTTAAAAGATAATACAAAAAAATATCATCATCAAGGTCCCTATTTCTATGCAATACAGTACTGGTTTAAAGTAATTATGATGGTCAAAAGTAAATTAGAGAAAGACCTGCCGGGTAGAAATTTTTTACGGGTTAACCCGGTGGTGATATTGATATTTCATATAATATTGATATTTCATATTTCATATTATATTTGATATTTCATATTCATATCCATATTTTGATAAGATTAAATACAAAAAATCCGGATGCGATGTAGAATTGACGATAAATTCACTTTTTCTTTTTATTCTAGCGACACTCATGTGACTATAAAACATGATTAAAACTTAATTCGAAAAGAATTGCACGTGTGATATAATCCGGCCTGATAAGTTTTAATAATTTGCGAATACACTGAAACGGATATGCTTCCGGATAGTAACTGGAGTTGCACCGGGCATCATATAAGCTGTTGAGTTTGTGTTATATATAATTGGCCAGTGGTTTCCCGCCTGCATATTCAGGCCGGTCGTTATATGAAAGCGTGACAGAGAAGGGGAAAGGATTGGTTGCGAATGTCACTTGCTTCTCGTAACAGAATGACTGCTCACGAAGTGGATATTGGAGCTGCCTTCTTATACAGTCAACCTTCCGTAAGTGCACCCCCTTGAGACCATAGGCAAAATTTCAAGTGCATTTATGGAGGGCATTTTATTAAGAGTTCTATATGCTTGGGACTGAATATGCCCTTAGAGAGGGTATATGTAGTGCGTGCATTTATTGAGAGTGCACTTATAGAGGTTGTAATTTAGTTGTTGTATTAATTCTAACTAGGGTTAGTAATTCCTGTTTGTAAAAAGTGATTTAAATTATACTTGTATTTGGGTTTTTCTTTTAGGATTTTGTACTAAATTTGGTACTAGTGATTGTACTCGGTCAAAAAAACGTTACCCGGTTAACCGGCAAGTATATACAGGTAGGACCGTCCCAAATAAAGAAATGATGATCCCGATCATGCATGT